GACTCCTTGTTCTAAGGTTTGTCTGGGGCAGTTCTGTCCATTCTTACTTGTCCTTGAGTTCTTAATGGTTTATCAATTGTCCTAGAAAAAAAATGTCCTGGTCTGACCAACAAATCATGGTTCGTGTAAGTCATGGCTCAACATGTGGGCTTAGAGCCAGACTGCCTGGGTTCGAATCTTTCCTCTTTGGCTCTGCTCTCATGTGGCCAGGCCATGTTGACCCACCTCAAAACTTCCTCAGCCATAAAATGAGAAGGACCCTTCTTGTGAAGATTTCATTAGTTACTGTGTGCAGTGCCCTCGAGCAGCAACTAGTAAGCCCCCTGTCACTATCACAACTATTTAGTATCAACTTTATGATTGTGTCCTGGCTGCTTAGAATCCCTGAGCCTCACTTTACTCACCCATAAATGGCATGAATACCTACCTCAAAGGCTTATTTTGAGACTTAAATAAAACATTCAAATGCCTTCAGTAAACTGTAAAGCACTACACAAGTTTACACCTTTACCACTGCAGTTGACAACCATGTGATGAGTGAATTATTTCTCATTAAACATTATACAGATGATACATTAATACATTAAACTAGTAATAGTGCACACATTTTATGAAGCACCTTTGTAAGCCATGCTTCCAAGAATATCTTCTTTAAAAGAGGAAAAAGTAGGCCAACCTGAAAGCCAAATTAGTAAGACCAAAGACATTTAAAATTCATAAAATGCTCTTATTCATTTCTATTTTTCATAAATATAAAATGATTACTATGAAATTAAGTTATATTAGGTAACTTCTGACAGCTTATCTCTTAGTGCAATCCGTGTGGTACATTTTTCCTTACCACCCAGAGTAAAATCCTGCTCTGTAAAGTAAGGGAAGTTCCTTTCGTCACAACTTGCTTCTGAAGAATGGTGAAGTTGCCAGATTTTCCGACTCGCATTCTGCCCCCTCTATCTATCTATCCAAGTAGAAGCCTGAAGCACCACAAATTCCTGGCGGCAGAAATGTAGCCTCTCCCTGAGGGAGGTTCCCCACTTCTCCACACAAAAACCACTTATGAAAGAATACAGAAGCAATGAGCCTCGACTGTCACATTCACAAGAGACAGATTTGTTTCTGGGTGGTGGGAGGTTGGGGGTAGGGGTCAAGACTTCCCAATTACCTTGGCCGGAAATGAGAAAGCATGCTTTCTGTTGATAAAAACAGCCCTTCAATCACCAAAATTTCATTTTACCAGAAAACAAATTAGAAGGATTTTTCTAAAGAACTTTCACCTAAATGCAGGTTAGCAACCCAGCCGACAGCTCTGGTATCAAACCTGTCTTCTCTCCTCCTTTCTCCCCTGGCTTACTGAACAAAAAGCTACATTCCTGCAAGTGGCACAGCATGGCACACAGCTGCCTGCAATAATGGACTGCGCCCAACGAAGACAGGATGCGTAGCTTTATGTTATCATCCCTTTAAGAAGTCCAATGTATGTAGATTATTTAGCGTTTTTATTTGTTTATTTTTTTCCAGCAGGGGATTTGCTTTTCATTTCCTATGGTTCTGATACTCTTCCCACTCAAATACTTTCCTAGTTTTGTCTTTTGCTCTTTTCCACAGAGTGACTAGAATATATTTCTGGGAATCTTTAACTCATTTCTAGAACACATTTTTTCCCCACAGTCATTTGCTTTCTTTTTATGTTACGAAATGGTCTCTTCTCTTTGTTACCAAAGTTTTACCTCTTTTCCCTGACTCCCATTTCAAATATAGGAGGAGGAAGTACATAAATAAAGCAAAGAGGAAAACTGAACAAGCTAAAGAAAAGCACTAAAAGATAGACTATATTCTACAGTATTCTCGACTCATTCAGAAGTTGGGAAATGAACCAAAAATCTACCACCAAAGGACTAAAATGCCTTTCTCAGTAATGTCTAACACATTCCACCAAGCCAGTTGGATAAAGAGTCACTCAGTGAAGACATTTTTTCTTAAGTCTTGAAAACTAATAACAAATACTACAAATTATACTATATTATTTTCATCTTTCGATTGCTCTTTCCGTGAATAGACAGTTCATGTCTTTGTATGGTTTAAATTTATACACCATGTCTTTACCCTGTTCTTTCTTAATTTGCAACTATTTTGCCTTTTCTAAATCTTTCCCACCCTCAAGACTCAGATTACATATTAGCTCCTTCTAGATGTCTCCCTGACACCCGAGCTGGGCTGGAACTCTGGCAGGACTTACTCCATTATATTCACATGATCTATTTTTTGTATCCTGAAACAGCATCTCTCCAACCCCACTCCCAGGAACCAGCTAGGCTTCTGTCATTCTTTAAGCCTCTGTTTTATTGTCACTTTCTCTGGAACCTTCCCCAAGCTACTAAACTGGGGTTGGGAGCTCCTCCTTTGGCCTCCCTTATCGAGCTAAGCTTTGGTATCCTAAAACTCCATTTCAACGGACTCTACTTGTCCAAGTTCCCCAATTAACTATGTCGTGTAAGAGCAGTAAGAAAGTCAGCATTGTCTCTACTAAATCCCTAAAACATTGTCTGGCACTAGGATGGGAGATTAAAAAATATATATATATTACATATATATATAATATATTAATATGTAATATATATATCTATCTTTACAGATGATTTAAACAAAAATGGATAAATATAACCTCACTTTCATATTAAATTTTGTTGGAATAAAAATTACACTAATATTCCATTCTCATTTTCCAGTTTTCTGAATGATACAAGAAGAAGAGGAGACAAAAAAGGGGATGTGATTTCTCACTGAATTTATTTTAGTCATAATCTTTTGGAAATTCCACCATCTGGTAAAAATCCTCCAATTATTTAACCAAATAAATAAGAACAGAAGGTTTTCTCTGGAAGAATGGATTTTAGTTAAGTCAAAGTCACCAATTATTAGACTTTTCTAAATTTCAACCATGGCACTATATTAAAAACTTCTTGTTTATAGTTTTACTTTTTAATAATGATTTTTTTCTATCATCTTTTTAAAATTTTCTGAAGCTTTGGAAATTTCTGACTGTATACACCTTCTTGAAAAATCTTTTGCCATGAACTTGCCCTGGCTTGGTTCTCCACTTAACTTTGTAACAGATCCTACTGTGTGCTCTACCAGCTCTTTTCTTCCTGAGACATTTACTTTAAACTTTGCTTCATATCTTCACCCCATGTCTCAGTGACTCTGTCTTTTTCCATAAATGCTTTGTTGTTGTGTTAATGATTCTCAAATTTCTATCCATAATCCTAGTAATTTCTTTAAACCCACATCTCTAAGTAGGTATTTCACTGATACCTCATGTAAAACATACACAAAATTGAACTCAGTCATTTCCTCCTGACTTCTCATCCTCTAGGATAAATGGCAGTATCATTCACTTTTGTCATCCAAACTCAACTCTCAGAGTCATCTATGACATTTTTCCTCTGCCTTGATCCCTCATTAAAGTGGTTACCAATTCCTACTACACTACTGCTCTCATCTGCCTCTGCATCCTATTTCTCTCATCACCATCTGACTTCAGAATCTTGTTATTTACCTAGAATCAACCAAATATGCAATGATATCCCAACACTTTTCTCTATGTTGCTCCAATATCCTTCCAACATATGCCTTCAGGAACCATCTTCTCTAAGAGCTGCTCTAATTATGTCACCCGATTGCTGATAAACGTGAAGGTCCCAACAATCCATGAAATATGTATAAACGTCTCATAGTTTATTCTTAACCTTCAGATCTTTCATAGCAAGTTTCATCTAAACATGATCATGTGGGATACAAGAAATGAGAAAGCAAGGAGATAACACAATCTCTAGCATGCAGCAAATACCCAATAAATATTTCCTAAAATGGAAAAAAAGGAAACTTAGGTATTATATAAATGATACATGCCACTCTCCTGAATAAACACATTTACTGAATTTCCACTGTCTCCCGGATATAGTTCCAAGTTCTGAGTGCAACTTGGCTCTTGTATACCTCTCTTACTTCTCTTGTTCAGGCCTTACAAGATAACTCACTTCCTTTACTAATGAGCCTTTGCATATAATCTTTTCACTCTGATTTTTTTGTATGTGTCCTACTCATCTTCTAAGATTAAATGAGAAAACTCTTTGACCCATTTCATTATCAGTTAGCTGCTCTTAAAATAGAGTCTAACTCCATCATTAGCATGTATTATATCTGTTTCTCTGTATCCCCCACTCTATGGTAGCTCTTTGGGGACAGAGTCAACATCTTCTTTTGTTCTCCATGGTCAACCACAATACTCATACTTAGCATACTGCAGTGAAAATATTTTTTTTCTTTTACTGGCTAAAACCACCTAGCTATACTGATTATAAAATGTATTGGCTAGAATCAACTAACTATATACAACCAGTAAACTACTTAATTGACTGGATTTAATTTTTCACTTCAGGCCCACTGGCCTCTACACTGTACTCCATCCAAAACAGAAAATTTGCCTTTTCCAACTTGTTTTTTCCAACATCATCCTGAACTTTAACTTTTGAAATGTCTCCTTTCAGCATACATATACAACAACAGTGTCAAGTACCATTTTTGCTTATCTTATTTCCCAAAGTTTCCTTCAGTTTCATAATACTTTGTAAGACTTCCTCTCCATTTATAATAAGACTTGCCAAGTATTAGAGTTATTCAACTAGTCACCTTATTCTGTATACAATGACATAAACTCCTTTAGAGTAAGGATCACATTCTATTTGTCTATTTCTACTAAGTTACATCATTCCTGGGACATAAAAAACACTCAGTGTTAAATTAATGAGAATCTGTGTTATAATGAACATGACAACTGGGTGTAATAAGGCTTAAATAAAACTGAGAGCCTATGCGGAAGAAGCTTTTACTCCACACACAGCAATAGAATCTCTCATAACTTCTGTAATACTGAGGTTGAATTCTGTTTTGTTGCTTACTTGCACTTGCATCCTTCAGCCCTAACCCTTCAGTCGACTTACTTTATATTCTCGTTTGCGGGTACTTCAGGAAGTTGCACAGTAATCATGCCATCCAGGTTGGTCTTCCCAATGAAGGCAGGCTTGGTACGTAGTACGTCTGGTGCAGTCTTTGCTGTTACCCTGTGTTGCAGCCCGCCAGCACTGTTCCCACGATTGGTCAGCACAAATGAATATGACTTCTCAGGCTTCAAGTTGACTATTAACTTCTGGGTAGCCCGGCCATCGACTTCTTCTACCATTTTCCCATCATCATAAAGAATCTAGAAGATACAACCAATCGAAGAGATTTGGTTATCAGAGAGGCAATGTATGCTTTCTAAACTAATGTACACTTGGTTATAGAATATGCATGTCAAATCAATTCTAATTTTGGGCCATTCCTAAGCCCTTAAGTGTTCATAAATTCTAGAGATTGAATGAATTCTTCTTTTGTTCTTAGTGCATAATTATATAATGTTTCTAAGTCTATAGAAAATACAGAAAGAAATGTACAATATTTTCAATATTTGACCTGTTGCTTGCATACAATCTTAATGGAAAATGTGCAGAAATGCCCTAGGTTTTCAATGTATTATCCATATCACCTTTTTTTCTAAATGTTTCTATTCCTGTTCCTAAGTACACTTTTGCCTTCAAAATGTTTCTCTATTCTTTATTTCATAGACTTGCACTTCTTGGTAACATCTCTCAATATTTCTGAATTGCAAATTAAAGTTTAAAACATACAAAGAATTCAGGCCGATAAACAAATTTTTAAATCCCAGGATACTGCATTTTCTTTCTTTTTTTTTTTTTTAAAGATTTTTTTTATTTATTTGAGAGAGAGAGAATGAGAGAGAGCACATGAGAGTGGGGAGGGTTAGAGGGAGAAGCAGACTCCCCGCCGAGCAGGGAGCCTGATGCGGGACTCGATCCAGGGACTCCAGGATCATGACCTGAGCCGAAGGCAGTTGCTTAACCAACTGAGCCACCCAGGCGCCCCAGCATTTTCAAGATGTAGAAACCACGTGAATTTCATTTTCTCGTAGAAAAACACAAGCACTAGCTTAGATGTAAAAAGTCTTGGAACTACAAGGTGACTGACAAGTAATACCACCCCTAGGTTTCAGCTCCCACCTCATCTTTCAAGTGGAAACCAAAAAGGAGAAAAGCAAGTGTTTGTGGCTGAAACAAAGTGGTGTGCATTCTTTCTGAATAACTTACTCAGGTAAACTGAATGTTCCCCCCCTCCCCGTTTTACCCATGATATCTTAAAAAGTAGAAAACAACTTACTTTGAAAGGCATGGCAGAATTATAATTTTCTGGAATTTCCCAAGACAACAGCACTGAAGTCTTCATTACTGCTTTGACATGAAAATTTTTTGCAAACACTGCTGGAAAAGGAAAAACAGTGTATTTACGCTACTCCTAAAAACGTATGACCTGTCCTTTTCCACCATGGACCATTGGGCTTAAGCTAGAAGCCATTTACTTTGGTCAGAGAGAGAGAAGTGTGATTTGCCTACCTGTTTAGACCATTCATGTTACTACCTCATTCTCATAAAGATCTCTCTTTTCTCTCCAATTCAGTCACCTATATTGTATTTTCCTTACCTGAGAACATTGGGTTGCTGTCAGTCAGACTTGCTTGGCATTCTATAACCAAAATCTAAGGCATCCAAAACATATTAAGTTTTACATACTTTACCTTTTGGCTTTTGCTGAACCTATGAATATGAATGGTCCGGTCAGTTATTTATAGCTTCAAAATACTGATTTCCAAAGACCGACATTCCTTTAAAGGAGGAAGGCCGTAAGCAGACAAATCCTACCTTGATCCACAGGCAGTGTCCTGAACTGGACACTGGGACTATATGGCCCGGGCCCTTTGCTCGTGTGAGCACGTACTTTTACATCATATGTGGTATCTGGTTTTAAGCCACTGAGTGTCATAGTGGTATCAGCTGGAACAATAAGCTGCTCCATTGGAAGAAGAGGGATGTTGATATCCCTATACAGAAGAGTATACTTGGTGATGATGCCATTTCTCTCTGCCAGGACAGGTGGCTGCCAGGATAACTGGACAGAGGTTGAAGTGGTGCCTTCTGAGTGGAGGTTTTGAGGGAATCCAGTTGGGACTTCTTCTGGAACAGAAATCTCTTTCACTATCTCTTCCCCGAAGCCCACTTTGTTTCTGGCTGAGAGCCTGAAGATATATGATGCTCCTTTATGGATGTCTGTGGCTGTAAAGTGATCTTCTTTCTCAGAGAACTCAAGAGTAGTGAGTGGTTCCGTATCTTTCCGGCCAAATTTTAGACGATAACCCTGAAGAGGTCCGAATGTGTCCACAGGGGGGTGCCATTGAATGAGAGCAGTATTCATTTGAGTGTGGTTAATCACAAGCCGGGGTTTCCCTGGAACTGGAGTACATGGGAAGGAGTGGTAAGACCAACCTAGACAGACATTCATTCACATTTTAATCACTGCTGAATGGGAACACCACTCCACAAGAATTCCCATTACATTATTTATTTAAAAAAAGACTTGGTCTATATACCTTTGTGGAAATATGTTTCTTCTCATACTTAACTATTAAGGTAGGCTGAGATACCAGAATTTGATAACAGACACAAATAAGCTTACAAAATAATTTAAGGGAATTAAAAAAAAAAATCTTGTATCAAACCTTCACACATAAAAAGGTTCATGCCACAGAGAAATGAATCCAAGTAAAGATTAGCTAATTAGCTACAGCTAATAAGAATAATAATTATAACATATTTAATTATTGGGTATACGCAATGTACCAGGCACTGTGCTAAGAGCGTTAGATGTAGTATCTCATTTGATTTACATTTTGACTTGACTACACACTCTGATTAGTTATTATCTTCATTTTCTATAATAAGAAAATGACACCCAGGGAGATAGAAAACTGCATAGTCAGAGGTATAATAAGTGAGAAAGCTGTAAGACAATCTGAATCCATAGCCCAAACACTTAACTATACTCTTATGTTGCTTGTAAGTTTTTTTTTTTTTAAGTAGGGCAAAAAAATGTTGCTTTAAGTTATTATGGTTATAATTGTACTTTTTGTCTATACTTTTTACCTGGGGATAAATCATGACTAAGGGATGATTTTGACTAGTTGGTTGGCAGACAATAAAACTAGAGCTTTTCTCTGAAAGAGATTATAAATCTGGATTCTCACACCCAACCTAGGTCCAGTATGAAGACAATATGTGTGCAGACATCTAAAATATAAGCATTGTCTTCCTCAATACCCAAATCACCATTGATTAAGAAAGTTCTGAAATGGAAACACCAAAATAATCCTCTATGCGAATAACATCCACAACTCTAAATAATTTTTTGAATAGTCACTAAAAAATGATGAGCCAGTGTTCGTGCTATGGAAATCAACAATGCCATTTCTTTCTCTGGGATTCACACCCCTTGGCTATAAATTCTCTCCTTTCTCCTCCTTATTATAGCACCCCTATCTTAAGGGCAATAGGAGCTTGATGCTTTATGTAATACATCTCAGACTAATTAAGACACAATTATAAATATAGGTGTAGGAAATATATTTTCTTCATTTTGGGATTTAATTTCAGGGGTTTACACTTAGTTGTCTACATTTCAATAGAGGCTGGTTCCATAGTCAGTCAGCATGCCCCCACTGAACATATATCTCCTAAGGAGGGCATTAAATTAGCTTGATACAATGCTATTCTTAAATTTAAAGGAAAAAAAAAAAAGCCCAGAAGACTGCCTTAAAGGAGTTTTGCCATCTGTAATCCTGCTGCTTGAGGCAGTTCCAGGTGGCAGGATGTGAAGCAAATCTTATGACATTTAGACAAATTTGGCAGTGAGCATGGCACCCAGGAGGGTACTCAACATCACAGCTGTTCTTTGCTTTATGCCTTTACATAGAGGTGTGTTCTTAAAAAGTTGTGTGAGAAGCAATTCGGGAGGAGTAAATCAAATCATAGTTTAAATGTTCCATGGGAGATTGTGATATAAAGGGATTGGAGGAGAATCCTTTTGTAATTATGTCTTAATTTATTGGTTTTACAATGTCAGGTCTTCCTTCATGCTGGCTTTTCCTAATGTGAGGCGATCGAAGTAACTCTAAAGAGCATTAAGAAACTTTGTTCTTCAGAGGAGCAATCTGATATTTTGTAGCCATGTTGCTTTTCTCTCTTTTCTGTTCCCTATCTTTTATGTAATTTGGCCTCTTCAGAATCCCCACAGCAAGGAGTGAGCAGGAGAAAATGGCAAAATAAAACAAAACAAACAAAACCCAGAACTGTAAGTCATCAACTCAGTTCAAGATGGCAGCTCTTCTAAAAGGGTTTGTTGCTGAGAGAGGTTGAAGCTAATAAGTGACATCCCTGCCCACATGATCATCCCTCTGGACATTCATGGGACTTGCTCTTTCACATCATTCATGTCTCAGCTCAAATAACTTTTTTCTAAAAGACCCTCTCCGATCACTCTTTTCAAACGGTCCCTAGGGGCTATCCTATCCTTAATGTTTACACACCTCTATTTTTCAACTTCTTGCTTACTGATGCTTTATTATATACTCATTTGTCTATTTGTTAACTATCTAGTTCTACTCAGAAAATAAGCTTCAGGAGGGAAGAATATTTCTGCTCTGTTGATTGTTGTGTCCCCGGTATTGGGAGTAGCGCCTAACACGTAGTAGGTGCTCACGAACATACTTGTTGAATGACTGACTGAGTAATTTGGGCAAAATATGTCTTGATGCTTTTCTTCTGAAATGCATATCAAAAAACACAAAAGCTGACCACAGTCCACTTTTTCTTTCTGATAGAATTCACCATACCATTTGGGAAATTCATATTATTGTCACCTGGAACATGTTCAAGGCACATATATGCACAAATACAGTTACCTGCCCCAGTGGTGGACACCAGTTTGGGCTTGCTGCGAGCACCATCTCCTTTGGTGGTGTAGGCTGTGACAGTGAGGGAGTAGGAAGTTTCAGGCTGTAGCCCAGAAATAATCATGTCCTAAAATGACACAATAGAACGACACTGATTCAAAACACCACAAACACCCTGGGGAAATTCAAAGCATCCATCCACATTCTATGCATGCTTAAATACTTCCTGTAGCCATGCCAAGTACTGGAAGTATCATGCCTATTGTTCATGCTATGAATGATGTGTTTTCATGCTGACATTAAAGTGAGGTCTTCAGCCATCGTAAGAGGTCATCCTAAGAAGTAGTAGTTAAAAACATGAAACCTGAGGCCAGAACTCCTGAGTTCTTGAATTTAAACCTGCATCTCCTTACTTCCTAGTTTGGTGATCCAGGGCAGGTGAGTTAACCCCCTCTGTACCTCAGTTTCCCATGTGAAAGTTGGAATAATAGAAGGATAAAATGAGTTATATCAGGTAAACACTTACAACTATGCCTGGCTCATAGTGACCAAACCATAAACCCGCAGTGATATTATGCCAGGAGCTCTCAATATGCATCCTCTATAGCCTGGCCAACAGACCGGTGATGGGGCTGATGCCAATGCAGTCTGTTTTATCACCATGCTAGCATTTTGCCAAATGGTTGATCTGTTGAACCTAGATATCTTGACAGCCAGAGAAGTTTCTTAGGACTAGAGTAACATATTATTGGTTAATTATATAGACTATGAACTAAAATCATTATACACTAAGGAGAATTTTCTGGTGATTTGGAGTAGGTCATAAAACCAAAGAACAATATTTTTTTTTACCACATCATCATGGAGTTGTGCTCAATTAATCCTATTTAGAAAATGTTAAATGTCACAAACTATTTATCAAAACTCTAGATTTCTCTTAATTAGGGCCCCCAAACTGTGATGGTTACAAAACTTAGATCTGTTCTTCCAAACTGGAGATTATAGGATTCTTTACATAGAGTAGTTACTAACTTCTGTTATTTTCTTTAGAGCTGCTACACACATGCCCACATCCCCCCACAAAAACCACATAGCTATAAAGATCTCTTTCAGATATTTGGCACAGCTATGTTTTCAAGCTGAATATGGTTAGATTTAAGAAATAATACAATGTCATTGTCCTCCACATTTGAAGACAAAGCAAGTGAGAGTTCATGGAATGGACTGGATTGTGTGGAGGACAGAAGGACTTTTCTGTGTAAGGCTGTAAGGGGCACCATTGAACTCAGTTGTTGAATCTGATCCCAAATATGACAGCTTTTGACTGTGTGCTTTTCTCAAAATAGTAGGAATATCATTGGAGTGGAAATTTAAGAATTTCAGATATCATCCTGAACAGCCATTGGAAATATTATTCTGCCAGATGAATGGGCTAAATTTGGGAGAGAGATATTATTTTCAGGACCTTGGAATGGTTTCACTAATATTACAGAGGCTATAAAAACCATCCGAATCACCCAAGAGTAGCATTCTAAATAATAGCAGATATACTGGGTATTCCAGAAATTATGATGGGAAAATGATAACATTATTGTTTCCAAGGTCCCTCTCACATGTTACTGGATTTTTGCTGAAAGTAGGCAAGGCTGGGTGGGGGGGTGGGGCGGGAAGCAGGGCTTGGTTCTATCACCAAATCATGTGGCAAGAAATTTATATACTTTGAGCCTTATATAACTCTTTTTCATTTATCACATTGGGATTAACCACACATGCCCTTCCTCTCACATAGGCTGTTCCAGGATAACACATGTAATGTAATTTGAATTTGGTCAAACCCTCTGCAGTGGTATAATCGCAGCTGGACAGACCTCTATCTGCCTGGATCACATCATCTCTTGTGTTATGTTTTCTTTCTTTAAACGGTGGCCATACTTCCTTGGTGGTTTCCGTATCCTCTGTGAGGTAGTGTGGCTGATACTGTGTCTACCATTCCTCAATCTCTTTGCCTTCTCCTAGCATATCTCCATTCAACTTCCTGCCTGTTAAAAATTGGCATTCCTGGATGTTCTGAAACGGTTACCGGCCTGCTGTGTTTCTCTCTAGTCCTAAAAAAACCCCACATTTCCAAACCTTAAAGAATTTTTTCTGTCTGAAACTCATTTCTAGTCCTGATTTCCCATCAGGGCTCCAGTGGCATATCCATTGAAAATATGTGCTGGACATTTTCCTTTGACTATCAATTGTTCCCTCAAGTTCAGCTTGACTGAAGCTCAAATGTCATTTCCAGGAGTAAATTCCCCTCCTTGCTTCTATACTTTAACGAATGGTATAGCATATTCCAAACTTACGAGTGATCTTGATCTCTTTTTCTTCCTCAAATTCTTAGCGAGTTTTTGCCAGTTTTTCCTTTATTTATTTATTTTTTTTTTAAAGATTTTATTTATTTATTTGAGAGAGAGAGAATGAGAGACAGAGAGCATGAGAGGGAGGAGGGTCAGAGGGAGAAGCAGACTCCCCGCCGAGCAGGGAGCCCGATGC